TTAAAATTTTACTGGGCACTTATCACTTACAATAAATGGGGTATAGGGGAGCTGGGTGTGCAGGTACAAAAGGAAATCTTCCTACGGTATGACTTTCATATCTTAGTGTTCTTGCTCTTTTCCTTCCCAAGCTGCTCTGTTTTTTTTTTTCTCCCTGTTATAGAAAAATATTGACAACAGAGGCAGTATGTTTGATGTGTCATGAGTAAGAAACAGGGAGGAAGAAACCAGAAAGGGAAGTTAGGCTCTACAGTCCAGTCTGAAAAAAAAAAAGCATTTGTCAAAACTTTCCAATATAATGTCTTCTAGAATTAATAGTCTTTTTAGTTTGATATGTGTTATAACATGACTAATGGTTACAAAGTATATTCTCTGTTAACTCAGTGAGTACTATAACTGTGAACATGGGAGTATTAAACAGATTTCTGTTGACTACTTTATAGAGAGAATTTAAAAGCTCATAAATTAATTACAAAGTATATATTTGAAGAGTTTACTTCATGCTTTTTTGTATTTGCTTTTCCTAAGTTTTGAACTCAGGATTGGTGTGAGTTAACCACCAGAAGTTAACATTACCTTAATGTCTTTTCATTCCCGGTTTTATTGTAGTAAAATGAGTATACTATAAAATTTACCATTTTGACAGCTCAATGGTGTTAACTACATTCACATTGTTGTACAATCATCACCACCATCCATCTCCAGAACTTACATGATGAAGATTTTTATTTGAAAAAACACTAATTGGTTTAATAACCAAGACCCATTTATGACCTGTCTTTCCATTTTATATATTCCACTTAAAGAAAAAAGAACTTCTGTGGGCTATGCTATAAAGTTATATCTGGAGCAATTTCTTTATAAATTGAATATCAGCTTATGGATATTTAAATTCAGCAAAGAATTTTAACATCCTACCAATTCTTATGTTCTGTAAGAAAAACACTGTGTTATTCAATTGAAGCAAAGAACAGTCTTCAGTTAAACCATACCAATGCTATGAATACTAAATATTCTTTTCAGTTGAAGTGAAATTTAAAGTTCAGAACTCCATGTGGTTCTAGGAAAAGAAGAGTATGCCAGAATGTGAAATAACAATAATGAGCCATAGTCTAGTACTGTTCTTGGACCACAGTAGACTGCAAAAAAAAAAGTTTTAAATGAATAAGGGAGTTCAGAGGGAGAAAATATAAATTATATAAAATTACTATTAATTTAACAATTATAGAGCTCACTGGAAAAAAGTTAATGAAATCACTGTTAAAAGTGCTTTTGCTAGGGCCTCCCTGGTAACGCAACAGGTTGAGCACCGCGCGGTGAAGCCATCAGCAGCCTCTGCAGCACGGGTTCGATTCACAGCGGCCAGGGAGATTCCCACATGGCATGGCAGACCTCTCCTGCCTAGCCTGCTAACTCCCTTCAGCAGTGTCTTTGGTCAGTCTGCCTGTTCTGCTCCCAGCTCTGTCTCTGGTGAATTCTCTCACCCTACCATGCCTCTGACCTGTACCCCAGTTCTTATATAAATAAGTAAAAAAATCTTTAAAAAAAAGTGCTTGTGCCAAATAAGCTAAAATTATACCAAAACATGAAGTAGATTTTAATAGATGTAGACTTTTTAAAACTGGAGAAAGGTAGCAGGTCACACTCCAAGGGGAGAGGGTGTCATAAGAATGCCCGAGGTTTTCTCATGTTGAGATCTGCATAGGGAGAAGTGACAAAGCCAGATAGTGCAGCTAGGCTACCTCAGTTACATTTTCTACCTTGCCATTTATCATGTGTGAAATCAGGCAAACCATTTAACATTTGTCTGCCTCAGTAGCTCATCCATTAAATGAAGCTAATCAGGGCTTTTATGCAAGCTGAATGTGCCAATACAGGTCAGGTGTCTCAAACTGTAATAAATAATAAGGTATAAACTGAAAGCTTAATAAATGTCAGATATTATCATCACCATTAAGACTTCTTGATTTGAAACATGGCACAGGGAGTAAACTCCCATCTCCCTGACAAGAGTCTAAAAAAATGTAGTCTACTCATGGAAGGTATTTCATTTCATTGTCTTTCATTTATTCTCTCATGACCATGGTTGATGACAAGACCTCTTACTAGACACAAGAAGACTGTTCCATCATCACCCAATCACACTGCATTGCAACCACACTGCATCGCAGTCCCCACCAGCATCTCCACTAGTCCCATAGCCATTGCTACCAATGGTAGCATCATTGCCGTAACTATGTTTGGCCATTATTTCCACCATTGTCATCAAGATAACTATTAGTACTGTTCTCACCACCAACCTATCCATCTCTACCACCTATATCAACACAACCACCTTGAACATCCATGTGAGTATAAATGTGAATTTAGAAGTGTCATTTGGAGGGGACAAGATGAAGGCATACATACTAGTAGGGGGAGGAACAGGAATTTTACTTGAAGATAGTTGGAAATAAGTAGAGAGTTGGTAGAAAGTGTAGGAAATAATGAGTCTAGAGGGATTTTTTAGATAAATCTGTTTTATGTTCTTACAGAAATAATGGATTTCATAAACTTGGGGTTCAGAGAGCAAGAAGGAAAATACCAGGAACAAACAAACAAATTCAAAGTCATACTTTTGTGCTCTACACAAAGACTGAGCCAATAGCTTCAGAGTAAAACCAGTGGAAAGGTAAATTTAAAACTCCCTTCTTATATGCTAAGCTTGACTGTTTGGAACCTATAGCTAAAGTTGTTTAAACAGTAGATAAGAGAACAGGATTTAAGCAGAGTCCTTGGCTTGAGAGAAGTAACTGCTATATATCTGACCTTGAGTTATTTAGCTTCCCAAAGCCTAAATTTTCTTTTCCTTTGATTCCTTTCTTTAGATAATTTGTGAATATTTAATAAATTCTCACATACAGCATAAGTATTCACATAGTGTTTGTCCTATCTGATATCAAGAGCTGCCCTGTCACTCCCTAACCAGTTTCCCTTCCACTTTAATTACACAGTAAACAGCATTTTCACAAGGACCAACCTCCATTCATCTTATTCCCTCATCTTCCATCTCCAACCTGAGAGAACTCATTAGCAAATTCTCCCTATTCCAGGCATGCTCAAATCCTTCTGTTTTCCTGTCTCTATCCTTACCCAAGTCCAGATGACTGTGATAAATCTGTCTCCTGGGGCTATTAAGTAGAGTCCATTCTTCATACCACAGTCATGGTGAAATTTACCCATGTGAATATGAGGATGCTTCACGTCTTCAATAGCTTACTATTGTCTTTAAAATTAAATGTGGCATATATACCCAATGGAATACTATTCAGCAATCAAAAAAGACAAACTAATGCCATTTGCAGCAACGTGGATGGAGCTAGAAGGAATTACGCTCAGTGAAATAAGTCAGAAGGAAAAGAAAAATATCGGATGGTTTCACTTATAGAAGGAATATAGGGAAACCAAATAAGACATCGGGGGAAAAATAATAACAATACAAAGCACAATATTACAAACAAACAAACAAACAAACAAACAAACTGACAATTATAAGCCAGAGACATCCTGCAGGGGAGGAGGAGGGAGAGGGATCAGAGGGAGGGAGGGAGGCGCACAGGGGACTGAGGTGATGGTGCACAGACGCATTGGGGAAGCAAACACTATGGGGACTACACCTGAGGGGGTGGGGGAAGCAAATACTGTTTTAAAATAAACACTGATGTAAAATATATATAAATTTTAAAAAGTTAAAAAAATAAAATTAAATGTTCATCACGTTTTCTATATGATTTGTCCGCTCTTCACTTTTTCTATTTTACTTCTTACCACCCTCTCCCTAGCTCTAAAAGCTTTGCTTACACCATCCTTTCTACTGTCTTTAAAATACTGAGCTTTTGACTCTTTTTTCAATGAGACCTCCCAGATCTACCTATCTAAAGTAGTTATCTTCCATACTTGCCAGATCCTCTTCATCACTTTGCCTTATATTTTTTATAACTTTTGTAATCTAAACTTATTTATCTCTGCTTCTTTATATTTATTTAGTCTCCTATTGCCAAAATATAAACTCCTTGAAGATAATAATGTTATTGGTTATGTTCTAGTCCTTGTCTTATTATTCCATTCCTATTATTGATCATGATCTGTATTATTAAAATGCTTCTATCTTCAATGCCAAGAATAATACCTAGCATATTTGTGAAATGCAATAAAATATCCACTCTACAAATGGAAATTGAATTTTTGAGGGGTCTAAATATATGATTTAAATAATACCTCTATGGATAAAACACCTACAGGGAGAGTTTTTCAATTGAGAAAGAAGTCCTGTAACCCCCAAAGAGAGGTAATAGAACATATGGGTAATATATTCAAGGAGATGTGTCTGAAGAACCTATAAATAATTTTCTCATAACGTGTTCTGAAATAAGTCTGGAGAGGGTAAGAGAAACTTTACCAATTTTGTATAGTTTCAGAGTTTGTAAATGTTCTATGGCATCTAAAGGTTACACTTAGATTAGCACTAATATTCAACAGCAGTATGACCAGTAAGGCAAATAATGCTTAAAACCTACATGCAATGGCTCTCTCTCTCTCTTTTTTTTTTAGATTTATTTATTTATGCATACAAGAACTGGGGTGTCGGCCAGAGGTTCGGAGGGTGAGAGGATTCACCAGAGAGAGTGGGGAGCAGAACAGGCAGATCTACTGAAATACACTGCTGAGGGGAGCATCAGGAGAGGCAGGAGAGGTCTGCTGCGCCATGTGTGTCAGCTCCCTGGTCAGGGATCGAACTAGTGCTATAGTGGCTGCCTATAGCTGCATAGTGCTGAGACTTAACCCCTTGTGCCACCAGGGAGGCCCTGCAATGGCTCTATTATATAAATTAGGGAAACAAAGCTACTTCGACATAGAGCCAAAGCTTAGATATTACAGGATTATGTGATTAAGTACAGGACTATAGGACACTGAAAAGCAACAATTAAAGCAATGTAGCATTTCAACTGCTCTGTACTCACTGTGCATGGGGTCTGCATCCACGGTTCTCCATCGATCTGCATTGGCAGAGACTTGCTAGTCCTGGGGGAAAATATTTCATTTTAAGTATAACACTGAAATACTTTCTATAGCAGAAAATTCACAAGCTAGAAGACGACCAGGGAATGCAAATATGGTAGTAGCTGGGCTTTAAAGTTATCTCTTGTGAAGAAGAACTCATCTTGTGGCTACTAACTAATGCTCTCGTCACCTACTAATGAAAGGAGTATTAACAGCTACCTGGTAAATGTGGTGATACAACCAAAAATTCTGGATGCCAAAAGAAAAATGAATGTTTTATGTTTAATGACATGCTCAGAATTCCTATAGCCAAAAGAACCTCTTTGTTTTTATGCAAACCCACATGTTAAATCTGGAGAAAAGATGTTTGATGTCTCAGATTTTCCAGTATAGACACTTTCATATAAATATCATCAATTAGATCTGTGCTGTAATTTATGGTTTCACCATAGGATCAAAGTAGACAGTTTTCCCTAGAGCTACAATTTTGGAAAAATGTTGCCGGAAAGATTTAAATTTATCCACATATAAAATAATACTTTACAATAATTCATACTGAATTTCATATTGCACTTTAGTTCAGTAAAATTTTAAAAAATGTTTTCAATAATTGAATATAGATAATTTCAATAGATAATTTGATGATTTAGTAGACTATGCTGAATGTGAACCATATTTGAGGGGACATAATATGCATATATCTTTGGTGTCAATAGAAAAGAGTAAGATTCCAACTAAGCTGATAAAAGCTACTTCAACCTTTGGAAAATCTGCCAATTTCCATTATTTTGAAACTTTTCAGTATTAATCACTGATCAGTTGAGACATAAATAAGACAAATGTCATTATCAGACTCCTTCATACTTTTAGTTTGCAATCATGCCTGTCAAATCCTTTTCTCAGTTATAAAGAAAGAACTACCTGATGACGACAGAGCAACACTGAGCTAGGCGCCGTCCAGCGCTTTTCAGTCCTGTGTATATTTGCCCCATCTCCATGGCTCCTTCCAAGCCAACCACCTCTAGCAGCTGATCACTCAGATCTGAAAGGAAACAGAAGCCTTGTAAGTTATCATGCCTATGCATGCGTCCACAATTTAATGCCAGTAGATATTACAAAGATAAAAAATAAAGTGAAAGCTACTTCACAGAGAAAGTCTTGGATACTGAAAGAAATGGAAAGATGGCCTACTTCTGAAACTCTCTGTTTCACTAAACCTTGAGGTACTGTAGAAAAAAAGTTTGCTGTCAGCTTATTCTGAAATAAAATGGGAAGAATGGATTCTGAGCCAAATAATGCCAAAAAATATACCAGTAGTTTTTAACATCAACAAACTTAATGTTATTCCACATGTATATATGGAACATTTATACATCCTATATCAGACATTTGGCAGCAAATATTCATTTCCACACTATAAATAAAGTATGAGGATATGCTGTCAAACATGATTTTGTTAAAACAGTAGAACAAAAGCCCCAGAGAGATCATGGAGTTAAAGTTTCTTAATTTGTAGATAAGACTAAATCTCTAAATCAGAGTGAGATCACCACTGTCACAGGTAACAAATGCAGAAGTTCATGAGGCAATATTAAGTTTTTAAAAATATTCTTCTGATGATAAGTGGTTTGCTACCAAAATACTGTCTGGGAGTAGATAATTAGCATGGTACAATCTTTTTTTTTTTTTTTTTTTCAAACAGATGACAGTAAAAAGAGACTAATAGTGTAGATATTGCTTGTTGGAGGTTTACTAAATGCCTGCCACTGGAATTAGCATTTTCTATCTGTCATCTCATTTGCTCCCCTGAAGAGAAATTTAAGGCAAATATGAATTCCCCTTTACAGATAGAAATGTTGAAAATGAGAGAATTTATTTAATTTATTCATAGTCACAGAGACAAAATTTGAATCCTGAAGGGTGTGATCCTATACCTCTAAATCATATACAATACTGTAAATCTATGTCACTTCAATTATAAAAGGAAAATATTACTGAATCGATGATAAAAGTTAGAACTCAAGCACTTTATGCACAACCACTACGCTGTATTTGAATGAGCCACATCAAAGAGAGATTGAAAAATTACAGGAACTTTTCTTATGTGGGGGGGTGGGGGGGGATTGGGCTGTGTGAGCTTCTATTCTCTTTCCAACCTAGAGATATTCTCTGAACCAGAACACAAGATTTTGCAGCGCCCAGCTCTGACTCAATAGCTCAGAGTACCTGGACCCTTGATTAGAAACCATAACTCTCAGTAAATATCCATGGTCCTTTTCTATTTTAATATTCTCATATATTTTCAGATATAAGTAAGTAGTTTAATATGTTTTTAGTAGCAAAGGAAACTGGAGGCTGTGGCATACAATGGGATGTTATTACACAAGAAAACCATGCAATGGCTGAGGTTGGACTTGAAGAAAAACAAGCAAAATGCCTTTTCTATGAGCTCCATTTTGCACAGGAAACCCTCACTCTCAATTAATATCTATTTAAGCCTGGAGCTCAAAGATGCAAATGACACATTTTCATGGTAGCTCCAGTGTGTGGTGAATAGCATTTTGAAATCTCAAAGTTAGACCCATGATCACTGGTAAATTTAAGAGAGGCCCTTAAAACAAAAAATGTTGTCTTTAATGAATGCACAAAAATATTGTCATTTATTTTTAACTTCAGGCTATAGTGACAGCATAAGATTTCCCTAAGTAAATACAACCATGTTTTTCAAAATCCAATGTTAACAAGTCATAACTCAGAGCATTCACCTTGGTGTTCTAAACCCTATTTAGACTTATTTCTCATGAAACTTATTCTGTGATTCTAGTTCAAATTTATGTTGCCAAGAACAGATGGACAAGGAATGGAAACATATTCTTTCAGCTGTAGCCGGCACTAAAATGTGCTTGGCTCTATAGCCTGGGTGTTAATAGACGCATTTCTTAGATATATGTCAAACAGAAAACTACATTGTGGCAAGCACTAAAACCCCAGATGTGTGTCTGATGATATTTATAAAACAATAACAACCACCACCACAAGATTGAAGTTCATATTTAGTATTATCTATTTTGTACTGCCGGATCCCTAAATAGGTGAAGTTCTGTGATGATTTTGTAATGCTCTGGTTGATGGGAAATATTCTACAAGAAATGAAACACTTTCTCATGACAGAGTTAATCTGTGAGCCCTAACTTTTCCATGAATCATAGGAATTGTCTACACCCACACCATATTGCTGTCTACCACCCTTCTTCTGATTTTTTCTTTCTTTTAATTTGTCTTTGTTTTTCTCCTTGCAAAAATACTCTGAATACCAATTCTATCATTACTAATAAGTAATGAAGGTATTTCTTGTGATGACCTAGGTTTAAACTTTCACATTCTTGCTAATACAAAGAATTAGATAGAGGTAGTAGGATATCTACTACCTTAGTAAATGTAAGTAAACACCTTATCCCTTCTAACTGGGATGGGGGGTGGGCTTAAATTTGTGCTGCTCAATTTGCTTCCAGAATACTTTCACATTTTTCAATACTATACAGTCTGCCATGTCTGCGCAAAATTGATGCCTCCTACATGCTGTCTTTGAGATCAGGGTACTAAGTGATTTCAGATAAAGACAGTTTCTACCTATATAATTTACATTTTATTTCTATACATGGTATTATCTAAAAACATCATTCTTCTTCACTTCACATTCTACCTAAAATTTATTTCAAATGCAGCTCCCCTTTGGATATCAGTCAACCAGATTAACTTACTTAATTGGCTTGCCACCTGGCTATTGATTTCATATTTAAGAGCTCAAGTAGCAAATGACAACCTAGGGACTAAAGCCAGCTCACTGCTGTTTTGTATGGTTTGAAAATTATGAACACTTTTTACAAGTTTACAAAGTGAGAAAAAAATTAAGAAGAGTAATAGATTGTGACATCTGAAGATTACATGAAATTCAAATTTCAACGTCCATAAAATAGTTTTTATTAGAACACAGCCATGCTCATTCATTTAGGTTTTGTCCATGGCTGTTTTCATACCAGAATGGCAGAACCAAGCAGTTGCCACACAGAACATACGGTGCAGAGTCTAAAACACTTCTATCTGGCCTTTTGAGAAAAAGTGGCAATCTCTGCTTAAGAAAAACATTCTTTCAGGCACTGAGATTTTATGTTAGGGCGTCCACTATAAATTCTGAATGGCCTCATGGTGGCCTGCAAGACATAATGCCCACACTCACATTCCTCAGTGCTGTCTTGATGCATAGAACCGAAATCTATGCAGTTCTCAGCCATGGGATCGCACCACACTCGCACATGGTGTGGTTTTTCAGAATCTATTTGTTATTAATCACGAAACACCAAAGCTATCATGCAGCTTTATTATAAAAGAAACTAGAAGAGCTCAATGCTCAACATTATGCTCAGTGATTGCATCCTGGTTGATTTTCTCTAGGATGAGAAAATGAAGTTGAGTCATAGACAGGAAGGCAGATGTAAGCAGATTTGGAAATCCAGATGGGTCAGCTCCACCTATGAGAGTCACCTGCTGGGTATTGAGAAATCCTAGCTTCCTGATATTGAGAAGTGTGTGTCCAGCCTCAGGAAGATAATGCTTTTGTTCAGTTTAATGTTATGGGATATACTTTTGAAGAGAAAAAGTAGTACATTTCTGAGAGTTAATATGTCTTTCCAAACGACTCCATGGGAGTAAGAGAGGCAAGAGAATCTGCCATATTTGGCACTTTTATATTTAAAACAGAATGTATAGAAGAGGTACTTCAGAGGGAAAAGCTTAATGAAATAACCCAAACTGGGTCACATTACAGTAAGAGTCACTGACCCTGCATGGAGAAAAATACTTTATTTTCACTAACATATAGTTGAAATTAAGCATCTCTTTTTGTAAAAGATTTCTTTTATTTATTTATGCATACAAGAACTGGGGTGTAGATCAGAGATGTGTGGGTGAGAGGACTCACCAGAGTGGGGAGCAGAGCAGGTGGATATACTGAAATACACTGCTAAGGGGAGCAGTAGACAAGACAGGAGAGGTCTGCTGCGCCATATGGGTTAGCTCCTTGGCCAGGGATCGGACTCATGTCACAGTGGCTGGAGATAGTTTGATAGCACAGAGACTTTAACCCCTGTGCCACTAGGGAGACCCCCAAAGCATCTCTTTCACTTATAAATTTAGGCAAGAAACCATAGTTTTAGTACAAATACTTTGTCATTCACAGATATTTCCATATCACATTATCGTCATCACAATACTTCAAAATGTTATTTAAACAAAGTTTAACATCTTAATAATGATTCACCCTCAGATTTTTAAAGTTAATTTATCAATAAAGAAGCACATATATTATTAAGTCCAATTTTAGCAGCATTTCCATATCATTGGTTTTCTTTAGTTAGTCTATTTTATTATATAATTTTAAATATTTTATTTCACAATTTAACATTTATATTTTAAATACTGAGAAAAGTAGGTAGATTTCATCTGACTGGCAAAGAAGATTACAGCACTAAAACTGGAAAGAAATCCTACTTTAGAGTTTCATTTGCCTTTGACTTTGTAAGTCTTTTCCTGAACATTGTTGTTAATGCTGCATTATCTTGTTATACAGGTGATCTGGGGTGTGAATGTAATACCTGAAAGTCAGAGGCATAGTATAGATTGAGAACATAGGAGCAACACAGCTAATATGAATATTATTCATAGCTTAGTCTCTTCATTTTTGACAGTTATGCCCTGATAATATGTCTCATTATGTAATTGTTTCAGACTGCCATATGCGAGGGAACAGAGGAGGGTGCATTACAAACACAGACTGAATGTGGGTTGTAGCATTTCAGTATTTCGTAGAATATAGTGTGCACTGGAGGGAAGAAATGGGGATGGGCAACGTGAAGGGCAGGGTGCCCGCCTTTGTGCATGGTGGCCAGGACACCTGGCAGCACTGCGGGAGCCCAGGTCCTAGGGTATATTCTTGACTCAGAGGGGATGTTTTGTAATCACCATAAATCACTAATAAAATCATCA